GCTAGGCAGCAGTCAACAACTCCGGACAGCGTGGCTAGCAACAAAGCACCAGGCGACAACTGTCCGATCGAGGCTACATAAGGAGCAGCGAAGGCTATTCACAGTCAGTCCTGGAGCTACGGCCGAGTTAGTCCTGGAGCTACCTCCGAGTTAGTTCCGAGTTTGCCAGCAACCAGTTGTATTGTGGCATTTGGAGTGTACTAATTGTGATACTGCAGATAGCAGTAATCGTAAATCTGTAATTTGGGTGATTGTAAGTGCGAATGTGAAATAAAATTCGCTATATAAAATACGGCGTGAAGTTATTTGTCGCGATATACGCCCAATACGCGACAATATATATTACTTTAAACATTATGTATATGATTTTGTCTGACTGTACAGACAGGAAGTTATAATTACAATAAGATAACTCTGGTTGAGACAAACATGTATGACGCAACACTTGTTTGTCGACTAGAGAACAAGGAATTTGGGATCATCTGCTATGAGCATGTACTCCACGTGAAATCATAGCATGTGACTGCCAGCCAACGCCCATCCTAGCCTCTTTAAAAGACCATGTTTTGGGGCGCGGATCGGACTTCATAGATTTCAGTTCATACACTGCACTTAGTCTCTGTGCACCGTCATAGGGACTTCATAAACTTCTATTCAGGCAATATTCTTGATCTCTGTACAACATTTGTGTCAACATCATTTATATTAAATATATATATTCACTGTATCGTACTGCGAGTTCGAATTGGATTTCAATCCTTAAGTGTCCGACGTACTACGAGGAACAGTCTCCCGCTCGGCTAACCTCTCGTATCCCATCACCATCATAGGGATACAACAGGGATTCGAACCCCGAACTTGGTGCTTGGACACCCAGAGACACGCCTATTGAGGGCGTAGTCAGATTCAGGATCGACATATGATTCGTCGTCCTTAAAGAAGAGTTTGACCATTCAGACGTATGGAGCATTGGATGGTCATAGGAATTCTAAATGAGGATTCCAATTAAAATGATTTCTGAAATCACGAGGGGAGAATATCTGCAGGAAGTGTCCATAAGCACGTCTTTCCCCAAAAGGGTGAACCTCTTATTTTTTATTCACTCATATTTTCGGGGTCTAGACTACACAATACAGGACACGGACAACTTAGAATAAACAAGTAGTGTAGCTCGTGGTGCAGGGTACACTATCACATCTCGTAAAGTAATGCGGGGGTTAAATACATATTACAGAGTCGAGTATTTTCTCTTCTCCGCGTAGTCCAGACCAGTTTTGAGGTCCACCCGAACTCTTGTAGGATAAATATCGGAGACATTTATCTTGGTGGTAAAGCGGAAGGCGGGTGAAACTGACCACTCACAACCATTTAGTGCCAAGGTCAAGAGAAGTGTGAATCGATATATTCACTCCCGCTTACGCCTTCATGGCGTAGTTTTTAATTAGTTAACCAGAGGTTCTTTTCCTTTAACAGGGATAACTTCACCTATTTACATTTACTGATCATCTGTGAAGGGCTTGTCCCCTGCAACGCAAATATGCTCTATGCGAGCCGACAGTGGGCCCACATGACCTTCACGTTCAGTCAAAGGCATACGTACGAGTAGTTGCAGTGCAGCAATGAGTCATTACGTGTCCAAGATGGGCAGAAGATTATAAGAGTGCAGGAATATCCCAGACACAGTAGGGTCCCCACACATACGTCACCGAGTCCATATGCAGCACTTCATACATTTCCTCCTGCGAACAGTGTAACAAGTTCATGGGCACGCAGTGATGAAGCATGTAAAAATGTCAACCGGTTCACTTCATTATCGTCACCATTAGCTGACATTTCCTGCAAGGAATGTCGTCCTACTGCCAAACTTTCTTTGTTCGCCCGCATCCGCGCAAAAACGCCATGTCCTGTATCCCTCTGTGTATCTTTTCATGCTTCGTTTCTCCAATGCTCTTCTGCTGAATGTGTTCAATTGAGGTTGTCCCACAGAAATGCATATATTGTCCACGCCACAAACTGCATTCAACGTTTGTAGCCAAATGTGATTTCTGGAGTTTCCTCAGCTCCTCCAAGCAAATTCTGGGATAAACGCTGCGACTGAAACACGTCCACTTGCTCCCAAATCCTTTCCAATTCACTTCACTTGACGCAATACAGTCTAGTTGCCTAACAAACCACAGAAATGAAGTGATCGCCTTCCAGAGCAGTAGTTTTCATATTCTGCTGGTAACACATTTAGTCCTGAATAACATATTGTTCCGAGATCAAACCTGATACGGGTGTTGTTAGATATGCCTGTGCAGTTTTAGTATTTGTATATTCCAGCACTTTTATAAAATGCAAAACACCTTATTACCTAAGTATTCATACATGTATACACATATATAGAACTTTTTAAACTTTGTTGGCCGGTTCACGGTACTGCGCTTTACGGCAATCGGTGTACCGCCGGCTGCGAAGGGCACATGAATTCTGCCGACGAATCAGCATACCTGATGGCCAATAACGTTTGAATGAACGGAAGTAATCAACTTTTGGGCCGCTTGATGGCATCCTGTTTCACGGCTAGCAGTGCTGTACATGAATTGGAGTCCGTCTATGATGTATCAGCAGTTATCAGTTATCTCAGTTACAGTTAGTGAGCACTGTGGTACGTCATGGGGCGTTATACTTCAGAGCAACGTGTATTTCTGTATGACATCTACGGGAAATGCGGATGTGCTGGAAAGAGTCGGAGGAAATTTCTACGTAAATTTTGTCATGCAAGAGTACCCAACAGACAACCAATTCACAATTTGGTGAGCAAACTTGAAACAATGGGAATCTTAATAGACAAAAAAAAAACATAAGCGTCGAGTGCTTATTCGGAAGAAGTGAGAAGACATAGAGTTCAGGCTTGAACGTACAACTAAAACATTACTGAAATGTCTAGCTTGAGAGACTGGGGTGTCAAAGCTTAGTGCAAGAATGGCACCACAATTGTTGAAGTTTAGATCATGTAAAACAACAATCAGAGTCGCGCGAACCAGCAAGCAGGGTTCATTTTTCCAGTTGGTCTCTACAGTCTTCTCGTCGAAATTAAGATCGATCCGCAATTTACAGGGGTAGGTTTTCCAGCATCTCCTGTGATCTGCGAATTGTAACTAATCAATCCCAAACTTTATTGGCCAACAGGCATATTGACTCAGCGGCAAATCTGTATGCGCCTTAAAAACGGCAGTGCACCTGTCGCCGTGAACGGGTCAACAAAATTAAGAACCTACCTCTGTGTGTGTGCGTGTGTATATATGTGTTTGGTAAAAAAGGTAAACCTATCCATAATATGCTTAATTGATTAATTATTACGCCATGATAACATATAGATAAGTGGTGGTACAGCTCCACCTCGACACTAGATGGAAGTGACTGGTAAGCTTGACTGCCTGGCCGCTTTACCTCCGGGGAGACAAAGCATTCGGTTGGCATCAGAATCGATCTGGAAGCTGTGGAGAAAATCTCATAATATTGCCCGGAATCGAACCTAGGCCGTCCAGC